CTGTTCCCCTTCCCCCAATTCCCCAGCACTGTTCCCATCCCCCAATTCCCCAATAAAAATCTTAAAAAAAAAAAAAAAGCCAGAAGTCAGATTATGTTACTTTTCTGCTCAAATCTCTCTAATGGTAAATAGAAGTTAAAAAAAAATACCATGTTTTTCATAAAAATATGAAATACTTAGGGATAAATATGGCAAAAGATGTGGAAGACATACGTTGAGAATTACACAATATTGCTGAGAAATAAAAGATCTAAATAAATGGAGAGATGTATTGAGTTAATGAATTGGAATACTCAAAATTGTTAAGATGCCAATATTCTCCAACTGATCTATCAATTCAATGCAATCCCAATAACAATTCTAGCGGGCTTTTTTTTTTTTTGTAGCAATTAACAAGCTGATTCTAAAGTTCATAGGGAAATGCAAAAAAACATAGAATAGGCAAAACAACTTTGAAAAAGAACAAACTTTGAGAACTAAAAATCACCTGATTTCAAGTATAAATCAACAGTAAACAAAACAATCTATTATTGGTGTGAAGATAGAAAAATAAACCAATGTAACAGAATAGTGTCCAGAAATAAACCTTTACATATATGGACAACTGATTTTTCACAAAGGTACAAATGTAAATGAGTGAAAATGTATAGTCTTTTCAACAAATAGGGCTGGAACAATTGGATACTCAATGCCAAAAAAAAAAAAAGAACCTTGACCCATATCTCACATCATATATAAAAATTAACTAAAAATGGATCATAGACCTAAATGTAAAACCTAAAACTATGAAACATCTAGAAGAAAACATAGGAGAAAAACCTTCAGACCAGCTTGAGTGGCTCAGTTGGCTAAGAGCACAAGCTCTGAGCAACAGGGTCAGTTCAATTCCCAACAGTGAGCTGTGCCTGAGCTGAGCTGCCACTGAACTGCCAACAGGTGGTAGGATGGCTCAGTTCAGAGCACGTACTCCTAACAATAAGATTGCCGGGTGGACTCCTGCATGGGATGCTGTGCTATGCCCACCCGCAACTAAGATTGAACATGGCACCTTGAGCTGAGCTGCTCTGAGCTGCTGACAAACGGCTGGATGGCGACTGGACTTGGAGCTGAGCTAGCTGCACCTTCCACAACTAAGATTGAAGGACAACAACTTGGCTGTTCCCCTTCCCCAATTCTCCAATAAAATTAAAAAAAAAATATTTGTGACTCTGAGTTAGGAAAAACTTTCTTAGATATGACATCAAAAGCATAATCCATATAAGAAAAAAATGAATAAATTGTACTTCATCAAAACTAAAAAGGTCTACTCTTTGAGAGATACTTTAAGAGAATAAAATGTCAAATCACAGACTCGGAGAAAATATTTGCAAAGCAATTATCTGAGAAAAGATTTATATCCAGAATATATAAAGAACTCCCAACACTGAACAATAATAATCCAATAAGAAAATGCAAAAGATATGAACAGACATTTCACCAAAGATATCCATATGGCAAATGAGCACATGAAAAGATCCTCAACATCCTTACTCATTAGGGAAATGATGAATCCAAAAAAATCCTCCAGTGGCTTCTCTTCTCACTTCAGAGTAAAACCAAGTCCTTGCAATGACCTACAACGTCCTCCATGACCCACTGAACCCACTTCATCTCCTACTACTCTCCTTGCTGCATGTCAATATCCTAACGTGTTCCTATCTCAGGACCTGTGTATTTGTTCTTTTTTCTGCCTAAAAAACTTTCCCCACAGATATCTGTACAGCTCCGTCCCACTCAAATGTCACCATTTCACTGAGGCCTGTCCTGGATGCCCTAAATTGTAAAACCACCCTCTTCATAGACTTCTTTTCTTCTATATTTTTTCCTCCATAGCATTTGGCACTAGCAATATTATATATTATACTAATTTATCTTATTTATTTAGTGTCTGTTTCCTATACCAGAGCTCAATGAGGGCAAAGATAACACACCTCAGTATCTCTAATGTCTGGATATAGTGTGTACTCGAACATTAAATAAACAAATGAATCATGATGTTTTATCTTAATTCGGAACCTAGAAGCAATGGCTTAGCTGAGCATTCCCTATATAACCCTGGCTCAGGGTTATGCCAACTCTGAATCAGAGTTCTGAACCACAATAGAGAGCTCAATACTCACCTGATGGGCTGTACTTGAGGTTATTCAGCGGAGAGGTGATTGGTGTTTCAGGGGCAGGAGAAGGAGGCTCACATATATTTAGGTCTTCATTTTTCATTTCATCCATCCTGGTTCTTTCTGTATTTAGACTATGTTTACAAAAACAACACTCAGGTGAATTGTTCGTTGTTGCTAATGCCATACAGATTTTGCCACACATCAATGATAAGAACTCTGGACCTCCATTTCACAGAGGACCCATTCATCCACTGCTTACATTGATACCATCTAGAGATGGAAGAAAACATCCATTTCTTCTAATTTCTATTACCTCAGGTCACTTTAGAAATTACCCAGCAAGTGAATTACAGTTAAGGTTTTCTACTGTTAATGTGTACATTTGGATAACACCATAATTAAGAAATTTTCCAGCATACCTAACAGAAGATGCCTTGTCTCTTACTGCACCTTGTTCCACTTCATCCAGTAGCTCCACTGTAAAATTTAAAAAAAAAAATGGCTCCCAACAGACTTTGCAATCTGAAATCAATTAACCACCACTGTCTGTCCCCAACCCAGTTTGTATACCACGAACAGTAATTGGAAACAAAATATTAGTACATAGAGGCTTTCCTTGGCTAGCAATAATAGAGTAGAAAAGACTATCCCAATTACTGAAGACTAATATATTTTTTAATTCTTATTTTTCAATTACAGTTGATGTCTAAAATTATATTAATTTCAGATGTATAGCATAGTAGACATTTATATAACGTACAAAGTGAGCACCCGAATAAGTACCCATCTGACACTATATATAGTTATAATATTGATTATATTCCCTATGCTGCACTTTACATCCCCATGACTATTTTGTAACTGTCAATTTGTACTTATTAATCCCTTCACTTTTTTCACCTATCCCCCCCAACTCCCCTCCTATCTGGGAACCATAAGTTGGTTCTTTGTACCTATGAGTTTGTTTGTTTTGTTTATTTTGAGTTTTATATTCCACATATAAGTGAAATCATATAATAGTTGTACATCTCTGTGTGACTTATTTCACTAAGCATAATACCCTCTAGATCCATCCATGTTGCCACAAATGGTAAGAAGTCATTCTTTATTATGGCTGAGTAATATTCCATTGTGTATATATACCACTTCTTCTTTATCCAATCGCCTATTGATGTACACTTAGGTTGTGAAGACTCCTCATATTATGTCCCTATGTAACTTTCTTGGTCATTCAGCAGGATTAGAAACTTCACTACATTTTCCCTTTACTCTTTTTGTTCCAGGGCACCTGTGTGGTCATGCAGATTGGTTCTAGAGATATCTCTTCTTTCCTATTCATTCTCATCCTAATGCACCTTCCCTCACACTACGTACTGTTTGGGGGTTCTCTCTGAAATCATTTACAAATCTGTCACTTTCACTCTCACAGCCTGAAGCATTAATAGTTCAAGGTACTAAAAGCTAGATTGGAAATCACAAAAAATACATGAGAAAAGCATTCCCCAAAGACTCTGAAACCATTTTTTTTTAACCTAGCAGTGCAGGGAATGTAGGGAAATATTGTATAACATTGATTTTAAGATATAAATTTTAAACAGCTCTAAAATTGAGTATAATTTACAATAAATACACATGACAATTTAATTGGCAGGTTTTTTTTTTTCTATCTTAGTGTGGGAAAAGTAACAATGTCCCTTATAAGTTAATGGCATCTTAGATTCAACTAAGTACAATTACATAATTTTCAGGGAAAAGGCCTCTCAGGGGCCACTATATGTCAAATGTCTCTTTCCTCTGCACCATCTAGAAGTGTTGAGTCTGGGCAGAAAAATTCACTAAAAACATTCACTAGTCAATTATTATCATTCATCTTGGTAATTCTTATTCAAGGTGCTTTTCAGGGAGACTTCTCCATGGCTGATTGAGCCACAGGGCAAAGAAGGAGAAGGCCAATTTTTGAGCCTAAAACTGATGAACAAAGGCTAAGTTCTGCGAAAGAATTAGTAGATGAAATCCATGTGTACAGATCACAAATCTAGTCCGTGGTCAGCCTTCTCCTGAGTTAGGGAGATGGTAGTAGTCATTCCTTCACTTCTCTTTACAAACCCAGCCACAGCCTAGCTTTGTGCCAGTCCAGAGCTCTGCTCCTCTGCAAAGACTAATAGTTAGAACACAATTAAAAATCCCACTAGTACCACCACCATCACCACCATTACAAAAAGATGTTCAAGGGACAGAATGTTTACAGTAGTGTCCTCAGTGAGAAAGTATAGTTAGATAGCTATCTGGGCTTATCTGCCTTGAACTGGGTCTGGATTGGAAATCATTAATTTGGTGAAATTTTCATCTGTCCCTAAATTCTACTTCTGTCAAAAACAGTCATCTTTCAAGCAGCAGTAATCTCTCATTTATGAGCCCTCCCCTCCTCTTCCCTCCTCTCCCCTCCCCTCCCCGCCTTCCCTTCCCTTCCCTTTCTTCATATCTGCCCCAATGGTAAGAAATGCACGGCTCTATGCCGTCCCAGATCTCTCACCCACTTTCTGATCTTTATTCTTCCTTGGGGGGCTTTCTGCTTTTGATTTCTTGAAAGCAAGAATAGTTCTTGCTCCCAACCATTTCCTCTTAGCCCATTTGGCTTGTTTGAAGCACACTGACCAGATGAGGTTCTACATCTACTCTTTTAGGCAAACAATTGGACCTACTCTTGTGAAATAGCTTTTGCTGGCAGAAAGAACAGGGCTGCTTCCTGCAATTCCAAAATCTAAAAGGCTCTGAAAACCAAAATTTTTTTGTCCATCTTTTGGCAGCAAAACTGTAATTGACATTCTATTTATAGTCCTATTTTATTCTACTTAGTATGATTATCCACCCGTTACTCTGTATAAATGTTTTATCATAGAGTGCTGCCTAGTTTGAGGTGTTATATAATATGAACAGTATATACCATGTGTTAGATTTTCCACAAGTCCAGAATTCTGAATTCTGAAACATTTGACCCTGAGGTTTCAGACAAGGGACTATGAATATACTGTGAACCTGTAATGTTAAACTCATTTTCTGTACAGGACAATTTTTTTCTATTCAGATTCCTCACTCTGTCTGTTGGCTGAGTCTCTAGTAATGAGCACCAGCAGTCCTAACAGTGTAAAACCAAGATGATTAAAATTCTCTAAGGCTATTCTGCTCATAGTCTCCACCGAAATAGTAAGATAAGGGTCAGTTTTCAAATATCAACTTTAAGGGTTCATAAATGCTACATTAAAGGCATAATAATGTCTCATTTTTAAAAAAATGATTGGAATGAGGCAGAGCAGTGAATTTACAACTGTAAATCCCAATACCAGTGTTAAGGAAACATGAAGTGCTCACCATTCACAATCTCATGCCCAAAAAACATCTTCACTCCTGGGACACTTCTACCAGTCTCCACATTCTTCACTGTTATAGAAAATAATTCATTAGGTTAATAAAAAATAATAGTTCCTAAAACTAAAGAAAATATGATGCCTCTCAAAAGTGCCCAAATCTGAGTTTCATAAAAACCTCCAAATTATTTTCCCCAAGGAATGAAGAGTCAATAACAAATTACAAAGCAAGACTTGAAATAAGTAGTATAAAGAACAGAGGGAAACCCAGAATGTTCCAAGAGAAACTAAAAGGGATAAGTTTAAATCCAGTGTACTCTCAGAGGGGGCCCAGCATTCTGTTTTAACAAGTCTTCCAGGTGATTCTGATGCACAGATAAAGTATGAGACTGACTGGCTTAAAACAACTTTCCCCTTTTCCCCCATCCAGTTAACTTCTACTCATCTGGATGAAGTTCCATCACCAATTCCTCCTTTGGAAGCCTCTACCAATCCCAGATCTAAATTACCTGAACCTTTGTGTTTCCATACGATCTTGTGATATCAGAGAGGATATCATACTGCATTACTGTATTTCTTTCTACTTGCTTATCTGTCTCCTTCCTAGACTAAGATTTTTGAGGACAGGGACAATGTTATTCTTATCTATATCCCTGGTAACTAGCATAGTGTCTAGGATATGAAAATATCAGTAAATGATAACTGAATGACTTAATATTGCAAACGCCTAGTATAATCCAATCCTAGTCTACAAAAGTGTATTTTAACTCATAGTATGGCTTAACAATAACACTAATCTCTCAAAGGCCATTTATACATGTTTGAATTGTGAACTTGAAAACTTATCTTGCCAGGAAAACAACTATCCTAGAAAGTCAATACTATAGCTGAATAAAAGCTATACATTGGACCTTCAAAGTGAACATATGGAGGAGCAAGGAAGGTGGTATGCCCAGAGAGGGCATGGAAACTCCAAGCCCCCTTCCACATACCTTGTCCTATGTAACTCTTTCATTTGGCTGTTCCTGAGTTGTACTCTTTATAATGAACTCAAATTAAAGCTTGGAGGTATAGAGGCTACCTTGTGACCATGAGAGTAACAGATGATCACTGAGGTGGCAGAGCAGGAGCACCAGATGCCTGGTCCATCCTGGCATCTTTGAGCCACTGCATTATTCCTCAGCAGCGTACCTCTGGACTTCCCTTCGCATGAGAAAAATTAACTCCTTACTGTCTTTGTGAATTTGTTTTTTGAAGACAAAAGCAATTCTATCTAATAGAAATTGATTATTTTTTATTTCAAGGTGAATATGGAGAGTAGTTTTAAAAAGTACCATTTAAAAAAAATTCTATATATTGAAAATTTCCGCTATCACATCAGTAAAAGTATAAAAGTGGGGACAAGCTAGCATAGCAGCCATGTTGCTCTGCTATGGAAAAGAGCATTCTAATCTTCCTCCTACCCCTGCCCTAAAATAGGAATAATGCCTCCTTCCCAGCTGCTAATGGAGCACAGAGCCATCACCCAAACACAGTTTTTAATCTCTTAAAAGGCAGAAGATTATGAAAAAATAAAATGAGACCTTTCTTCAGGACAACAATCTTGTTAGGGTCCACATGCTGGAGTACTCCCTCAAAGATACCACAAACCAATGTGAGTTTCACCCTTCTCCACAAAATCTGATTGAGGAAATGGTAGTCACTGCTGGGATCCATGCTTTTTGATTCCAAAAGCAGTCTTCAAATAATCTTTAAGTATCCATACACTTGAAAATAAAAGAGATCCATGATTTTTAAAAACATTTTGGGGAGAGTGGGGCTATTTCCCCTTGACCCATACCCGGAAGGAACAAGAAAAACAAAAATATGAGAGTAACTCAGTTTTGTTCATCTTTTTAGAATGATAATGAGAAAAGGATCATGCAAGCGCCAACTCTAATTTATGCCTGGGAAACTGAAAACCATAAGACTTGGGGCAAGTTAGGCTTGGTTTCTTTGTCTTTAAAATGGGGTAATACCACCTTTCCTTCCTTAGCTAAATGAACAAGCAGAACATTTAGAGGCTGTTTAATGGCACATACTTATATCATTTTATCCAATCCAGCTGCCATCTCACTGCAAGGGCCATTCCACCCCACCTTGAACACACAGCTCAGGGACTGGGCTGCTGTAGTATCACCAACCAGTCATATACAGCCTGACAGATTAAACTGCTACATGCCATACACTGGTTTTGTAAAATTCAACTGTTTTTGTAAAAATGATGCATGCCCCTTATAAAGAATGATAACAATGAAGAAACGTACAAAGAAAAAACTTTACCTTGTAGAAATAACTATCATAGTATATATGCATATTCTTTAGTGTAATACTATAATTTAAAAGATGATTTTTTTAAAAGCACCTTTTAGAACAATCCTGTTACTTGGGGTAGTATTTAGAACCCCAGTCCTCTACCGTGGTTTAAATTTTAAAGCTATTTGCCTTTGCCACACTAGGAACAGTCAACCAGTGAATTATGCAATTTACTTTAACTATAAAACACTGATGAAATAACTAAGGCCTAATTTAACTAGGAAGAAAGTGAGAAGCTGGATAAATATCTCATATTTTTATATTTTAAGGTCTGGCAAGAGCTTGTACAAATATTTGTTGCCTACAACAAATAATTTACAGATATAGAAACTGAGGCTTAAAGATTTAAGACACCTGCCCAAAGTCACACATTTAGAAATTAATGAACCTGAACTAAAACCAAGCTCCTCGTGGTGGATGTGTGTAGTCTAGGGCAAGACCAGGTGTCATGCAACCAGAGAGAACATAAAACAAGCAAGTCACCAGAGTGCCTGAAAAAATAATTCTTTGTTCAAGTCAATCCAACAGGCAAAAAGAGGAATTTTTAGAAAAACAAAGAGGACATAAAACTGGAAAAACCAGCCCTTAATAGAGGCAAAAAATAATATACATTTAAAAAAAGATATACAAGAAGTAGATGCTTGGACTATAAGGACATTTAAGAAATGTTAAATTAGAAAAACATTAACAAAGCAAAGAAAGCTTTGACTGAGGAAAGCTGCAAACGGTAAGATTCCAGATTACAGAGGAAAAGGTAAGGTCAGGATATAGACATGGGCTTCAAGGTAGTCTCAGAAAACGGTCATTCATGTCGCATACATCAAGGTTTTTCTACCACACCCATACTCGCAAGATAAAAAGAAGTTCCCGTTGGCATTGTATGTCACACTGTATATATGAAGGCAGACATCATCAGTAGGCCCGACAAGAGCAGATCTATCATGAATACAACTCACTGAGACTAGAACCTGTCTCACGCTAAGCCGTCAAGCCTTAGGTAGAGCTTAAAACTAGTAACCTAAGTTTAATTGGGAAGCTTGCTAAGAGAGTCCCCTAGTGCTTAGCTACTAAGATAGTGGTCAGAATTTAATTTCTCCACATCTCAAATCAGTTCTGTAGAACGGTAACACTCAAGGGGTAGGGCGGAGGTGTAAAGGCATTAAAACCCCAGGAAAATAACTGATTCATCTGAGAGGGTGTACTAATTTAACGGGTGGATTTAAACGTTTTCAAGAAAACAAACAAAAATATACTATAAGAATACAATGCAAAACTCATTTTTAAGGCAAAATAAGAAATTTCAAGTAAAAAGCGGGCCATACGTTATGAATTCACTCTCCTTTGACGTTAAGTTTTTGTTTTGTTTTTTTTTCCCCGAAGGAAGTTTGGGAAATCCTGTCTCAATTTCAGCCAAATGGTGAGTTCCTGGAGCTTCAGCCGAACTAAAAAAAGAGAGACTGCTGTTAAGAAATCTCGGCGAGTTCCAAGCCCGCGGTGGCGGTTATGGAAGGACTGGAGACAAATACGCAGCGCCGCGCAGCTGAGCGGAACCAGCCCCTCCAAACGAGCGTTTTCTGAAGAGCCAATCGGCGTGCGGCCGGGACGCCGACTCCTGAGCGTCTCCAGTGGCCGGAAGAAGAGAGACGCCTGGAAAAAGGAGGGGGTGCAATTCCCAGCATGCAGTTCCCAGGAGACACACCCTAGAGTTCCCCCCAAGCGACGTTTTGTCTATTTTTCTTGTTTCTCTGAGCAATCGTTTTGTGTATTTTTCTTGTTTCTCTGAGCAATCCGTGTCATTCGTTGGGTGGGATTTCTAGTATTAGAGTTCTGTGAGAAACTGCTCGGCTATGCTGCCTGCCGCAGATTAGTTGATTATGAAAACAGTGAGTCAATGGCTTTGCCCTTTTAATTGCGGTTACTAGGGCCAGAGTGGCATTGCCCTTTTAAGACCGGTTGCATCACGGTTCCGGGGGCGTGGTCCGTGTTTAGCGAGACTCACCCAGGCGCTGGGCCGATTCATTCAGGGCTGGGGCTGGGAGCGCCGACGTCGGCTGCTGCGCTGGTCGCTGCCTCGCTTCTGATTGGCCGCCTTCAGGGCCGCCCTCCTCCGCGCACCAGCCCTGGGTTCCCTCCCCGGTCCGCAGTGGTAACGCTGCCCTCTTCCTTCTTGACCCCTGGTCCTTCCTCTCTTCCCTCCTTCTCTCCTATCGCCGCGGTCGCTTCTGGAGCCCCTGCTCCCGGAGGAGCTTCCGGCTCGGTGATGGGGTCTCGGGCCTCCACGTTACTGCGGGACGAAGAGCTCGAGGAGATCAAGAAGGAGACGGGCTGTGAGTTCGGGTAGGGGGGTGGGAACTCGGTCGGGCTCCTCCGCCTGGCCGCAGGACCGAGGGCGGCTGTCGCTGAGGTGTAGAGCTGGGGTACTCGGAGGTTGCGGGGGTCCTGGGCAGCTGCCAGCGCTGGAGCTTTGAGGCCGAGGGTTGGAGGACCTGTTCTTCCAACTACAGCTACCCGGACGGGGGTTCTTCTGACTTGTCGGGCAGTCCTTCGCCTCAAAGGCGGGAGTTACGACCACCCCTAAAGCACAGACCACCACTCTTTTCTCCCCCTGCTCATGCAAACCTCCGAACTCCTTTCCTTTATCTTTTATCTCACCATGCTCAAACTCAGGAACTCTGGATGGACCCTGTAGAAAACATAATCCGTTACCGTGACGTTTCTGGACAAGGACTTAAAAACCACTGACATCTGTGGGAAATCACAAACAAATTCTTGCCACCACTGGGAAAATAGACATAGGAAGCGAGATAGTATAGTAAGACTTTCGAAGACGTGACCTGGTGACGGGAGACCTTTAAAGAATCAAGGGTCTGAGAGTGTAAGACTTCTGAACTTGTAGAGAAAAAGCGTGGATACTATGACCACTAGTTTTTATTTACAGTAAGGATGCTTGCTGTCCTATTTTCGGATGTATTGATTTCTACTGTGCTGGTGTACTTTATGCAGTCGTTATGGAAATTGGATGTGCTCCAAAAATCTCTGTGAATTTGTACTAGGAACTGATTCTCTTCCTCATTAACCTCAACATAGAGGCAGCAGGGCTTTGGGAATTCAGAAGCTCTGTGAAACACCATCACATATAGTGTTGTATAGCCTTGATAATACATACAATATTGTCTCTTCCTAATAATCCATTGTGACTCTTGTATTTTACTTGAGTTATATAAGCACCTGAGATTTGTCTCTTCATGATAGCAGCCTTTGATAATGAGGTGACCAATAATAAATAACTCAGTGGCTTATAGGCAGATAATAGTGAAGGATGCTGGGGGAGTTACAGTTACTCAGTGGTAGCCTGCAATAAATTACATGCTGTCCTGTGCTTTCTGACAAATTCAACTTTCTAGAATCTTCAAGTTGGAAGGGATGTTTTCTAGTCCCAATACTTGTCAGAGTGCTTTACTGCTTTCAGCATCCCCTAATATATGGCCATTAAGCCTCTCCATAAAGACCTTTAACAGTGATGAGCTCACCCCTAGCCAATGCAATCCTTTTCATGATTTTGGATGAATAACACAAAGTAGTTATCTGTTTGTAATGTGCATTATTTGTTTGGCCACTTGACCTTATGGTCTATTTATGACACTCTAACTCTAAGATTAGAAATAGAGGCAGTTTGGATTCAGCAAGCATTTTATCACATTTTGTAGCCATGGCCCTGGCTATACTTGTAAATATAGGAACTACATGAGGTCTAAGGTAACACTAGAGTTAAAGCTTAAAATAAAAAGTCACATTAATGAGGAAGTGTAAACCATAGTGAGGATGGGAAAAAGCTGTTTTTGCCTCACGATGAAGGGAGCAGTAATCCCATTCTGATTTATTTACATTTGATCAAATGAAAAGAGCCTGGATTGCCTGGACTCTTGGTTATTTCACCATGTGACTTGTGGACACATAGAACTAAGTACTTCTGGGAGAGCTGTTTTTCTAGTTGGCAAAAAGCAAATCAAACTAAGGGGTTATTCATAACCACAACCAATGCAAATGTATGTATTGAACCAGAAAGCCTAATGAAACAAGCTTATTGAAATTTTTACAATGTCTGTATTCAGCACTGAAGTAGGTACTCAAAGCAGGTGGTGACAAAAGATGTCCACAACCTGGTAGTGGAGAAAGCCCACAAGAGTTGGGATTAGCATCACAACGCAAGGTAACTGAAATTGTGTGACGCCCACCTGCAAAACTCAAGGAAGACAGAGTCTTTGTGGTGTTGGCTTTGGGGAAGACAAGAACCCTGGCCGTGATGCATGCATGAATGGATTAGATTTGGGTAGATTAACTTCCGGCATTTCGGGTGGCTTCCAGGAGCATTCTCCCCCAGTCTGCTACACAGTCAGTCATTCCTCTGCCCTGGAATTGAGCCATCAGTTTATCCAGTTAGTGCCCATCAGCAGAGTGAATTTTTATTTTATATTTTAAACATTTTCATAATAGTTGACATACAATATTAGATTAGTTTCAGGTGTGCAACATAGTGATTCGACATTTATATAACTTACAAAGTGATCGCCCAATAAGCCTAGCACCCATCTGACACCTTACATAATTATTTATGCAGAGTTGATTTTTAAAGTCTTAATTTTAGCATGATGCAAAATGTTTAGAAGAATAAAAACAACAGATACTTGAGGGTGGGGTAAAGAGGTGAAATTTGTCCTATTCATCTGTTTCTTGTCCTATTAAGAGTTTGGGGGTGACCGGTTAGCTCAGTTGGTTAGAATGTGGTGCTGATAACACCAAGGTTGCTGGTTTGATCCTTGCATGGGACACATGAGTTGCGCCTTCCTTAAAAGAGTCAACTATGCCATTATAGCATGAAAGCAATGTGTAACCAATGACCATGGCTGTTCCCCAATAAAATTAAAAAAAAAAAAAGTTTGGGGAACTATCAATCAGAAGCAGTTCGAGTTAAGAACAAGTATAAGACATTTCACTATTCCCTTTGCCAGTTAGAAAATGTAGCATAATTGAGGAAAACTGACTGTATAGTCAATATAAAAGCTTTGCTTTGCAATTGATGATTATATTTAAACATTTTTCATAAGTCTAAATTGATTAGAATTCATATATCACTAGATTAGTTGGTATTTGAAATTTAACATCTAAGTGGTTCTAGGAAAGTAACTCTAGGTAATAATTACCTATAAGCCTCAATTTCATCATCTATAAATGGTACTAATAATAGTTCATACTTCATAGGATTCTTATGGGGATTAAATGAGATAAATTATGTAAACTACTAAGAATAGTGCCTGGTATGTAAGTGCCAGGTGTTAGCATTTATTATTTTGAACCATAGATAACAATCATCTTATTGGGAAAATACCATTTGCGTGTGCTAGTTATAAAAACTATTCCTAGGTCTATGTAATTGGGGAGGTGACAGCATTTTATACATTTCCTGTTTTCAGGGGGCATTGGATTAAGAATCGAGTACAGATGCTGTTTTCCCAATTCTAAGGAAATAAATCTTTTAAAGGATTAGAAATCCTGTTGTTACTAACAGTTTAAAAAATACTAATAACACTTTGTGTTGGCATAAAACATTTGCTATATTGTCTTTGTTCTCTTAGCTACTTCTTTCACACTTTAGCATTTCTATAAATTAAAACTCATTTAAATCAAAGTTGTCATTAGGGGGAAGGTCACAAGTATCTTGGAAGTTTCTGTAATCTCCACCCTTAGTTCACTTAACTGTACTAATAACCTGGCTGTGGCTGTGAATTACTTAAAACCTTTAAAAAAAATAGCCACTTATTCTGTGAAAAACAATTCACACCAACTGAGTAGTAATGAACGCAGATTCATTTATGTTTAGTCTCTAGTTTCTGGTGTCGTTTGGTATTGGGAGGGTGTTGAACAGGTTTAGGAAGTAAGTTTCACAAGCTGGTGAGGTTTTGTTTGATGGATGTAGTGATGAAAGAACTAATGTGGGTTTCTCTATAATTGCAACAAAAAGCACAGCCTGGCAAAGGCAATTGCTTGAGAATAATTTCCTGGGCTAGAATGTAAGTGGAAGTTCAACTTCAGGCTGCTACTACCTCCAAATGCAGGGCCCCTTCATGGCCCTCACCTGCCATGCCATAGTCCCTGAAGGGTCTTCTGGCTCCTGTTGCAATGGAAATGAACATATAACTAACATCTTTAGCTGGTTTGGGGTTAAGTGATTTGTAAAGCTCTGTACTTTCTCCCCCTCTCCAACTTATTATAATGAAAAATTTCAAATATACAGAGAAGTTAAAATAGTATAATAAACATCTATAAAACATCTGTTAAATTGTTAATGTTTTGCTATCTATCTATATTTTTTGATGAACCAGTTGAAAATTGCAGCTATCAGAACTCTTTTGATGAACCAGTTAAAAATTGCAGATATCTGAATACTTCTGCATGTATCTCCTGAGAATAGGAATTTTTTCCCCACATAACCACAATACTATTATCACATCAAAGAAAGTTGACAATAATTCTATTGTAATGTCTACCATTAAGTCCATATTCAAATTTCCCCAATTGTAAGAAGGTAATTTTTTTGTTTTGTTTTTTTAATGTCTTTTAAGTCTCTT